CTCTGCCTCTGGGCCCCTCTGCCTGCACAGGCCATCCTCTGGGCCTCTGTCCTCAGCGCTGCCATCACTCCAGCCTCTGCTCTGCTCTCCTGCAGCCGTGCCACCATGTTGCCCAGAGCACTGGGCTGGGCTCTCTACATAGAGTCAATAGCAACGTACTGCCCACATGTGTGTAGTGAGCTAGCCAACCAGGGCCAGGTGAGAATCCTGGCCACAGGAATTTTCATTTTATCCACACTGCACCCCTCCAGGATTCTCTCCTCTCAATCTATGTGCCCTCAATTCTCTGCAATGGACCCTGTGCGAGAAAACTGGAGCATTGTAACCAAATTCCATAACAATAACAGAGGTTACGACAATATACAAATAAAAATTACAACAAATTATAACAACTCTCAAACCTGAGGAGATCCATTGCATCCTGGCTGTATTCAAACTAGTTCTAACAAATTACAATAACCCTCAAGCCTGAGGAGACCCATTGCCACCAAGTGGTCATCCTGGCTGTATTCAAACCAGTTCTACTCAAAGGAGTTAACCAAAAGGACCATGGGTGAGCCTTACAATACCCACCTTCTCCAGCCTCTCCAGCAAAAAGTCTTGCAGACACAGACCGATCTTGTTGCTTTATATCTGCCTTCTGCTTCGTCCTCAGCAGCCGGAACCGCCACTCCAGTCCCAATCGCTGCCACAGCTCCAGTCATCCAATTTCCCTCTGCCTGCTCCTGCCTTTTCAAACCAACCCGCATCTGTGTCCTTGTGACCTTCAAATTCCTCCTTCGAGAAGCAGACTGTATTTCCTCTCGTGTTTGAGCCTGAGACAGAAGCAGAGCATGGGGTGCTCCACAACCTGAGGAGGGGGCTGCACCTCTCCTGAAAAGACCCGTGGTTGCCGAGTCCTTCTGGCTTTCCACCAGCTCTCAACCAGGTGGGGTCTCAACCGAGGAGGGGCCGATGCCTCTGGCACCGGCAGGGCCTCTGCCCCCACCTATTCAACCTCCGCTCCTCCATTTCTGGGGCTGATGGCTCCCCTACATCCTTCACCTGCCCCAGGGCACCCAGCAGCCTGCATGCTGCTGCTTCTCATGCCACTCCTTCTCGGGCCTCTTCCTTCACCTGCCCCACGGCACCTGGCAGCCTGCATTCCCATACTGTTTCTTCTCGGGCCTCTGCTCCTTCTCATGCTGCTTCCTCTTGGGCCACAGCATTTCACAGTGATGCCATTTCAGTCAGCTTTCTCTTGGGGTGCACCCCAGTCCTCCATGCCTTCATAGAAGCACATGTCCACAGGGGATACTCGAGTGTCTCCCCGTCCATAGGTGCAGCCTGCTGAAACACTCCTTCCATGAGGGCAGCCTGTTCTTTTTCCTTGGTCATCAATGAACCCTGCCAACTGTCGACAATTGTCTTGCCAATGGGTTTCAGTCCCAGACAAGTTCACTATGGATTCAATGTGACCAAAGAAATGACAGTAGAATGTTCTTGGGGTGAAAGGGGCATACCCAACTTTATTTCCACGGTGTCAGGTCAATCACTAGAATCCCATCCCCTCAGAGCAAGTCTGCATGCAGCAAGCCAGTCTCCACCTCTGGGCCTCTGTCCTTGGCACTGCCACCACTCCAGACTCTATTCTGCTCCCCTACATCCTCGCCAGTCTTTTGCCCAGAGCACTGGGCGGAGCTCTTTATATAGAGTCAGTAACAACACATTGCCCACACATGTGTAGTAAGCTAGCCAACCAGGGCCAGATGAAAATCCTGGCCACAGGAACCTTCATTTTATCCACATAGGCAGAGAGAAATTTAGCGGTCTGTTAAAATTCCTCTCTGTCTCATTATTTTTGTATGACCCAGCAAACATTTGTTTACCAAAAATTTACTCTTTTTCATCTTCCTATGAATTGCTTTCCTTTCTTTTGAAGTCCCAGACCTCTATCCCTTCTCCTAGGTTCAGGATGACATATATATTTATTTCACCTGTCTTTGGAATTTCATGTGATAGGAAAAAACTCTGAGATATCCTAAAATTAAGTGACATAAGTGATGTAGAGTAGGGACAGGGGCCAAACATCATGATTAACTTTCCCTCTGATGAAAAATGCTGAGATATAAACAGCATAGTAAGAATAGGAGGGGCTCCATCTTAAGGCTAAGATTCCATTTTAAAAACTATGGAGTTAGGAGGTAAGATTACTAACATATTCTTTATGTAATCAGACAATAACCTGCCCAATCTTTAGGCAGGGCAAGCAGTCCTGATATGTTCCCAGTGATTGAAAGTAACCACTATCCTGGAGAGGAACAGGATCAATAAATTCCTTGTGCTAAGTTTATCTTACAGAATCATCTGGAGGACTGACTGTGGATGAGGACATAGTGTCCTTCCCTGGAAATAGACATCATGAGACCACAAGTCAAGCTTATGTCCAACAACCCCCACCCGCGCCTTTTGCCCCATTCCTTAAAATCCTTAGAAGACAGAATCCCCAGCCTTTTAAGTGCACCTCCTCTCTGAGGTTGCCACACTCCTCTGTCCTCGAGTGTGTACTTTTGCCTTAAATAAAAAATTCCTACTGCTCAACTTACTGCATTTTTGTCTCTGTGCTCTTCCAATAATAAGTGTCTTTGTTACTTTGCTATTTCATTCTGTTTTCTAGACTTAAGCCTCCCTCTGCTTTTCCTCGCATTCTGCTCCCTGCACAGCTGCTGCCATTCACTGGCACACTTGCTTTAATGAATTCCTTCCTTACCTGCACCTGTCAGACCTGTTTGAGATTCCTCCAGAGTCAAGAACCCTCCCCCATCCAGATTGAGGTTTCTCCTAGTGCTTCACCTGGTGCACAGGGACAGACCTCCCCAGGCACAGCTTCTTGGCAACATAAGGGCTGGAATATGGAGACAAGTAAAGCTAATCAATCAGTTGTCTCAGGCAGCAGCCAACCAAAGAATCCATGTTCCTGAATGAAGTCCTTTCAACAATTATCTGGAAGGTCCCTCTTACATGTGAACAGTCCCTGACTGTCATTCAACAACCAGCCCATATGCATTCTCTGTGGTCTAACCACGAATCCCCAGCCTTTCCCCATTTTGAATTTCCATGCCTTCCTTAAATGTAGCCCATGTAAATTTAAACAACTCATTTTACTTAAGATCCCTTACAAATGTTCCCTGTTTCTTGAGTATGGCGAACATATTGCTTCTGTTAACTGGCCTCCTTCTGTCCCAGAAATCAGTCCTTTAACTGGCTAGCATTTGAAAACAGCTCAAGAAACCCTTTTATTTCAGAGATCCCTCCATCTCCAGAGTTTTGGGTTTATCTGGGTGGATTCCTCTTATGTAATTAAATTATGTAATTAAATTTGATTGTCTCCTATTAATCTGTTCCGTGTCAATTTAATTCTTAGACCAGCTAGAAGAACCTTGAAGGGTAGAAGAAAATTTTCCTCCCCAACACACCTAAAAAAAGAGTCTAAGGGGCCTTCTCAAGATATAACACCCACATCTTGTTGCATGCTATTTTAGAACTTCTCTAACATTTCTTCTATAAAGTTTAGATTTACTTTTGTTTCCCCTTAATGTGTGTCAGATGATACTTCATAATTTTAAATTTGCTTTGTGCCATTACTAATATATATTCCTTGTCAGGTTATGTCTTAGAAACTTAGGTAATATTAAGCTGTGGCTACTCATATCAAAGGCTGTATATGAGATAATTTTCAACTAAGGACGTAGGCAAAAAATGCTAAACTAATTTTGGCCTCCACATTCTCATCTCCATTTCATTCTGAAGGGAAATGCAGCAAAAGAACAGAGAAAAGAAAACCCTAAGCTAATGGTCATAAAGCCAGATAAAAAAGTTAACACTATTTTGTAATTCTACTTTTCCTTAACATTAATGCAAAATCAAATTGTTTCTGTTTACCAAGTGCTTTTTGAAAATTCCTGTCCATTGATCCTGTTCAGTAAATAGATGTGTCTCCATCTAAGTTATCTTAAGTTCAATAGCTAAGGTATGTTCTGGAGACCATCTTACTACTCCCTAGAATTTTCCCTTGCTTCTCCTTTTTTGCCTAGTTCTACCCTTTGAAATTTCTGCTTAATTTCTGTATTAATTCTCTTATAGCTTCAAACCACTCAAGTAACCTCTCAGCCAGTTGTACACTGAGGGATCCCGAGTATCAAACAGGATGGAGCATTTATTAAAAGTGCGAAGTCTGACCTCTGCCAATGAGGTGCAAGACTTTGGGCAAATCCCTTCAACGCTCAGAATTTAGTTTTTGTCATTTAAAAAAATGACATTTGTTGTAGATGTCCTAAAATTCCATCTAATTTTTAAGTGTATATTCACTATTTAAATATAACCAGGATTCTTATAAAGATAATGGTAGTAGATTTTCTTGAGGGAAACGATTTGTCAGGTTTTACATAACCTTTTCCCAAACCCCTTATTGTCTGTACTTCACAGAAATCTAGTTATGCTCCATTCTACTACCATTTTTGCAATGGAGAGAACGGAATCATGGTCACTGATAAAATGTAGGAGGGTGACAGCGCTGCAACATTTATCCAGAAAGCTTGAAGAAGCAAACCAAGGGGTTGGTCAGGTGAAAGCTGTGGCCCAGGGATGCTTTGTTTTACATGCTAACCGCTGTTGGAAATCCTGCAGAGCCAGGCAGAAAAGGTATGGTATTTGAGTTTTTGTTTTTCAAATTCAAATTGCAAATTCCCTAAACCAAAAGCTGGACTTCAAACGATCCTGTCCTAGACTAAACCGCCTCACCGGTTCTGAGTGGAAACATGACTCCACCTCGCCAACGACCGCAAGAGGGAGAAGCAACTCCAGGAAAGCCCGGTGAGGCTCTCCCACAGGCGGGCCCCAGGGCAACCCAGCCGGGGCCAGCGGTGCACGCCCAGCGCCACAGCCCCGGGAGGCTCCATCACGTGACCCGGCGGCGCGGCCAATCAGCGCAGCCCTCTGCCTAATTCAAATCGGCGGCGGGGCCGACGGTTGTGCGGAGTCACGCCGCGGCCCTGGCCGGGGTCCAGTGTCGCCCGTGTGTCGCCATGCACGGAGCGGGACGCTGACAGATCTCCGGCCCGGTAGGCGGAATGGAGAGTCGAAGTGTGCCTCCCGGGCCTTATCGGGCCACCAAGCTGGTAAGACAGCGCGGAAACGACCGGGCTGGCCCGTCAGCCGGGGTGATGGCTGCCGCCACTTTTTGAGAACCTTTGTGGCTTTACCTTGGGCAGAGGGATGGGTCCCTTTGCCGAAAAGGAGAGCAAGGGGAAATAGCGGGAATTGCGGAACGTTTGCCGGACTCCCCTCTCCCTCCTTTGAGGGTCTGAGCCTTTGCTCCGGGCTCTGTCAGCGTCAAGGACGCGCCCTGGAGAAGGCACATACTACTCTTGCCTTCTCTAGGCGACCTCTGTGCTTTAGTGTCTGCGTCCCCTGGAATGTCAGAGAATATTCCTATTTTAGCCGCTCCCCGCGCCTGATTTTCTGCTCCCATCAAGATTCTAGAAGAATTTAGAATGCTTCCCAATGCTTTGTGGAGCCAGATTGCGGGCAGCGCGAACGTGACAACTTCTTTTTGCTGGGCCTGTAGAATTTCATGCAGGATGTACCGACTGAATAGTTAGTTCTAGGTAACAGGTGCCTATTCAAAACTAAATCCAGAATACCTAAAAAAAAAAACATCAGGAACCACTGTTAGTAGTCCCTGGATTTTTACTTGTTACACAGTATCTTGTGTATTTGAATCTTCAAGAGAATACTAGTACCACTAGTTACAGGACAATAGGAGAGTCGTTTAACTTCTGTGAGCCTCAGTTTCCACATTGTTAAGTAGAGCTAATAATATGTGTCCACTTTAAGGAATTTTCCAAGAGAATACTGTATGTGAAATGTGTTGTGGTCTAGAGAATAATAAATAACTTACCTGTGGCTAAATTGCAGCTCAACGTAAGATTTTTGAATAAATAAATGTGTAAAATGGGGAGATATGAGAAGAAAAGAATAGTTATTCTGTTTTCTGCCTTTAAGTTTTGCATTGTGATGGGGGGCCACATGGGTTAGGTAAGTGAGAAATATATAACTAGTAACAGCATAGCTGGGGTTACAAATCAGATTTCTTGACATCTAATGTAGGATTTTTAATTTAAAAGTGATGTGTTTATTATGTAACACCACTACCACCTTCATGCTCCACTGTTAGAGCTGCCACAAACTATAAAGTTTGGGTGATTTGTGGACAATTTGAAAAATATGAGTGTCTTTAAAATATAAATATATCACAGTGTCATTAAATATACAGTGGACTTAAACCTTATTTAATTTACTCCATCTGTTCTATGTTCACTATTGGAATCTTCACCTAAGAGATATTATAATAAGTAAACTATTTTAACATTAAAGTTTGAACCAGTAAATTTTAAACCAGCAAAACTACTGCCTGCCACAAGTTTGCTTTACCAGCATAGTAGTTAGGAGTACAAGTTCCAGAGACAATTAAACCTAGGTTTGAATGCCTGGGTTCGTCACTTAGCTGTGTGGCCTTGGTTGATATTAAAATTAAATCTCTCTGCTTTATATTCCAATTTCTTCATATTCCATATAATAAGATAAATAATAGCACCTACTCATAGAATTGTGAGAATTAAAGTAATGAATCTAAAGCATTGTCTGACACAAATGCTACCAGCATATTGTTATTAATATTAGTTGAAGTTAAAAAAAAAACAAATGTTTTCTCTATTGAGGACTAAGGCAGATTTGTTGTAGTTCATTATTCCTAGGTTTCCTAAATAAGCCAACCAGCCAATAAAGTGCTGTTAGTCAAAAACTATTCATAGAAATATTATATGTAAAAAATCAGTATGAGATATGAAATTTTCTATAGCATAAGATAAATTATTTCTTCATGAGTTTTTGTGATGTAATCAAATGTGAATTAAAGAATTAAATGTTTCAAATCAGTAAGAGATTTCATTTTTGTTTTATTTTTTTTTTAACTGTCTGTTTTGCAGTGGAATGAACTTACTACATCTTTTCGAGCAGGAATGCCTCTAAGAAAACACAGGCAACACTTTAAAAAATACGGCAATTGTTTTACAGCAGGAGAAGCAGTGGATTGGCTTTATGACCTATTAAGAAATAATAGCAATTTTGGTCCTGAAGTTACAAGACAACAGACTATCCAACTGTTAAGAAAATTTCTTAAGAATCATGTAATTGAAGATATCAAAGGCAGGTGGGGATCAGAAAATCTTGATGACAACAGTCAGCTATTCAGGTATTAAACAGATAACCACAAAACTGAATTGCTTAACAATAAAGTTTAACTCCACTTCTATTATACTTTTACTAAAATAGCAGCATCTTCAAGAAAAATAATGTTTTCTTTAGAAAACTGTAGCTGCTCTTTGTCCAATTAAAACTGTTTAGACATTAAAGTTACTTGCACAATTCAAACTTTTGAAATGTTACATATATAGTAAATTTGGTAGGATGAATGAGATATTATCACTTCTGTAAATTTCAAAAGCTCTATGACATTCCATGGACAGATCATTATTAACCTTTAATTTCATATATTCAAGAATTACAAGACAGATTCCCACAGATTCTTGCCTTCAAGTAACAATCTTATATAATCTAAGAATACATGTGATAAGTAGTACCAAACTTTATATAATAAGTAACAGAAATACCACAGGTTAAAGAGCATACTTATTAAGCATTTATCATATACCAGAGGCCCTGCTTTATCATTTACATGTTTTCTTATTCAATCCCTACAGTAGCTAAGTAGGGTAGGTATTTGCTTCTTTTTCCAGATGAAGAAACAGACCATGCTTCAATCAATCTTGTTACCTCTGTTTAAAATATGTTCTTCCACTTTGAAACACTGCGCACATTTGTCAGACTAGCAAAACATTTCTTCTCATGTCAGCTGATTTGTGGGCTCCTCTGTCAAAGTATGGTATATAGGAAATGACTCTCATGACCTAAATTTTGTCTTATATACATGTCTGAGCGAATACCATTGTCTTCCCTGAGTTTCCTTCTTTCCCTTTCTTCTCCCCATTAAATATGATTTAATTATTGAACCGTATCTGTTGTGCTGCCTGAGTAGTTCTCTGGTCTGTCTACTTCTCTCCCCCCTAAGACTGTTCTTTTCGTTAGGCCATTATTCTGTTACCTAGAATTCTGCATAATTCTTCAACTAATGTCTGCCTCTACTCTTTTACACTGATAACAAAAATATAAAGTACTTAAAAATAAAGTTTACCGATATGTATAAAACGTTACTGAAAAAATTATAAAATTGTATTGAAGGCAATAAGTGATATCCTATTGATGAATCAGAAGGTTTAGTATCAAAAATAAGTTACTTCTCTCCAAACTGACATATAAATTCAGTACATTTTCATTCAGAACCCTATAAAATTTTTCATAGAATTTGACAATCAGATTCTGAAGTTCACTTAGTAAAGTAAAGCTTCAAGGACAATTTTGAAGTACAGAAGAGACTTGTCCTACCTGATATTCTGGGCTCGAATTAAAACAAGTACTGAGAAAACAAAATATACATATATGGGATCTTGATATATTTTATACATGGATTAAATACTTACATATGAAAATAAAAGTCATGAGAGAATATAAGACAGTATTTTTAGAACAGTGGAATAAGAAAATGTCTGAGGTCACTAGACACTGCATAAATTTAAGGTATGATAAAAGTATGAAACACCAAACCATATATTGTTTGTATATTTATTAAAAGCATAAAAATGTGAACAAAAAGAAAATGCAGTACACATAAAATATTTCCCTTAGGAAGAGAGAAAGAAGCAAATAATTTCTTTCATTGGAAATGAAGTTACGAAGTCTTAGTAAAATGCTAGTAATTGCATTGCTGATGGTTATATACATGGAATTTTTGTTCTCTATTTTTTATATCTTTGAAATGTTTTATATTAAAATGAAGGGAGGAAAAAGCATTCTAATCAAAAGGAGCAACAGAAACCACATTCTGGAAATCAGAACAAGTGCAGTTTAACAAAGGGAAGAATATATCTACAAATAGAAAACTAGTCAGAGAAATTTAGAAAATGTGACGTTCTAGATCCATTTTGTATGTAAGCATACCCTCCCAACAGAATTGATCCTAATAATAACCCTGAATTATCCAGAAATAAAGTTAAAATATGCACAGTATGCTAAAGAAGCAGGAAACTATTAAAATATTTTTAAAGGTTATAATGGGAAAATCAATCTATGTAGAATCTTCATCCCTTGGTATTGTGAATAAATATGGTTCTTTGCATAATTTTTTAAGGTAAATAGTCACTAAAAGTTTGTTTATGAGCTCACATTAATTGCATATTATTGTTAAACCAGATTTCCTGCAAATTCTCCACTTAAAACTTTTCCACGAAGGCATCCAGAATTAAGGAAACACAGCATGGAGAACTTTTCCAAAGATAAAGATAGTGTTTTTAAATTACGAAATTTATCTCGTAGAACTCCTAAGAAGCTTGGATTACATTTGTCTCAGGTAAAACATCCTTTTTACTGATCACTGGTTTAAATACAATTACCATATGCTTAATAATAGAATCATTAAAAGTAAGTGATTCTTTAATATTTAAAGTCAGTACTGTAATTTCTTAACCTGCATTATATCCTAAAACTATAAATTTGTTTACCCATAAAAACAGTTTAAAAAATGGTAAGGAGACATACTTGAAATAGTATTTGTATAATTTAAGCATGTTTTCTTTCAAATTGACTTGAGGGTGGTACAGACAACTACAAAACTAAAAGCTCCATTACCAAATGTTACATTGTTTCTCCAGGTGGCACTTACCTTATAACTCTAAGATGAACTGAAACTAATAGAATTATTAAATGTTAGGAGTAGTGTCAGTTCCATATTTCCTTAATTTGAGGATAACATATTAAACCAAATTTTTTTTTCAGGAAAATACAGAGAAAATGAACTGTGAAATAATCAATGAAGATCAAGAAAACTCTGTTGGTAATAGAGAAATAAGCAAGGAAGATGTTGAAGAAGTTTGGAGATATATTATTCTAATCTAGTAAGCTAAAACTAAGTTCCAGAGGTGTTGAGAATGTTATTTTGACATTTCATAAGCAAAAGAAAAAGAGCCAATTAGTGCTCAAAGCCTAGAATTTAGACTGTATATGTTTATCTTAATAAATGCTCTTGCTGTAGTTCTAGTATAGTACAAGTAGAATGTTTTAAGTATGATTTACTTTTTCTTTGCGTCAAAGATACACCTATGGTTTGGGGTCTATTTTGGAATCTTTTGAAGGTTATTAAGACAAATATGTTAGAAAGTGGATAGCAAATAGAAGCCTTAGAATTTCGTTTAAGAGAAAAAGACAAATATTCTGATGGCTTTGTTTGCCAGTCATACTCTCATATTTGTATTCTATTCCACTTATTTTATGAAAAAAAAAATTTGTATTATTTCTTCTATTTAGCCTGCAAACCATTTTAGGTGTGTCATCCCTAGAAGAAGTCATAAATCCAAAACAAGTAATTCCTCAGTATATAATGTACAACATGACAAGTACAAGTAAACATGGAATAGTTATATTACAAGACAAATCAGGTTGGTATCAATAAAAAAATGTTGTAATCTTGTTAAACTTGCTTAATAAAGGTTGCAGTTATAGCAGGATATGCAAGACACCAAACTGTGGAAAGTAGAGTACCTTAGTTGAGAGTTGACAGACTATTGTCTTAAATAATTGCTTTAGTAATCTCAGTGGAATAATTTTGAAATGAGTATTATTCATACTATTATTCTAGCTTCTACAGTGGATTCATGCAAGATTTCTTAAAAAATGGTAGGGTTAAATATCCAAAAGATATGCAAATATCAAAACTGTTGATTAACCACATTTTATTGATGGCTTAGGCAATTACACCTAAGATTTAGTGAGAAGAGCAAAATGGTCCGTTCCTTCTTGGAACTTACATGAGCAGTTACATATAAATTTACAAAGGTCAAGATATGTACACAAAGTTGAAGTAAAACACAAAATAAACCCAAACTCACAAGACCAGTATTGTAAAAATGACCACTGGCTTTGTATTTTTTATATCTCTTTATATAATTTATTGATTTCAGATATAAGATTGGAAAATCGAGAAAATCATTCAAGCCAGATGCATTAGGAAACTTAGATTACAAGAAATGTATCAAATCTACTGAAAATGTTGGCTCATTTTTTTTATATAGTCATTTGCTGTCTATAAAATTAACTGGCGTGCATTACAGTTTCTTTCTATGGGCAAAAACTTTGAGATTCTAATTGTAGGAACAAAAAGTAAATGCAAAAACTTAAGAGTTGTGTTGTATATGCATATGGCTTTGGACCAGTCCCATCTTTCATTACCTAAAATAACATACTTACTAGTATATGCTGTCATCCCACGCTCCTATTATTTATATCCATAAACTTTTCAAGTAAAGTGTATGAGTGGTTTTGTGTTTCTGTCAAAAACCTGTTAGATCTTCTGCAGCATATTTCACTTGTGGTAATTGAAAGATTTTAAGCAGGCTTCACTGTGAATACACCTGAATATTCAAATATAGCTCATTTCAATAGTTGGTTGCACTCCAATCAACAGTTAAAGTCATAACAGAAATGAAGTTAAAGAAAAGATGATGATAGTAGATACATATGAATGTTCATTTATTTCCAAACCTCCCTTCTCCCAAAATAATCCTTGATTTGAGGGTAACTTTTATGTATCATGGAAAGAGTCATACACAAGAGTCTATAGCTTTTTAAACTTATTTTAAAATATTTCCTTGATCCTAAGTATGAAGTTTTAAATATACTGGCATAAAAATTGTGTGTCTTACTAAGGAATGTAAATTTTTTTGTGTGTAGATGACCTTCCTCATTGGGTACTATCTGCCATGAAGTGCCTAGCAAATTGTAAGTTAAACTATATAAGTTTTAGATATATGTATATCTTATATTGATAGTATTTAACAAAAACAAAGGAAATTTTAAAATAATCTATGAAAGTGCTGATAAAATTAAAGTATGTCATTTTTCTTGATGTTTAAATGATAGTCTAGTAGAACTGATTACATTTCCTTGCATGTGTAGTGTCTTATAGAGCCCCTAACTTTTCCTATGTATGTGGTAATTTTATAACTCAAGCCTATCATTTATGGTTCAGTTCTTATAAAGTTATAGGTGAGGTATAGTCTATATCAGTTGCCTCAGTGAAGCACAGAGAGTTCAAATAGCAACTTATAAGTGAAGCAGCTTGTAAATAGAAATCTTCAATCAGAAATGAAGTGTCATAAAACCCACTTAGGTCCCTTTACCATTGTACATGGCTTCAGTGTCCAGGTGCTTCATTACATGCTTCATAAGCTATATTGCTGCTACTTCTATGTTTGTGGAAAGAATGATCTGTCACTAATCAGAAAGCCTGTTTTTCAGCATTATATTCATTAAGCTTTTTCCATAGTGATCAGTGAAAACTGATTTTATAATTTAAGACCCTGGTTCAAGTACAAAACCCTAATTGCTTTCAAAATCAATTTTTAAAATGCATAGGTGTGCTTCTAACTCATCAAAAATTATATTATGTTTGAATAATTTTGCTACAAAAGCCTTTAAGTTCTTATAAAATTAGTATTTTATTAATGTTCAGGATAAGTATATATTCCTTTGTTGTCCACTGGGTGTCAATATGACAAAATAATAAGTAGCAATAAAGTAAATAATGTAAGTCACAGGAAGATCTATCAAATTGAGGTAAAAATCTTGAGCATAAGCTTAAGATTTTTGAGTTTCTCTTTCCACCTTCCCCTACCTAACTGCCCTTCTCTCTCATACTCTAGCTCGTGGTTAAGCGACTCAAGATAAAGCATACTGCCAGAGAGTTCTCTGATGTCCCATCTTTGGGGATTTTTTTCTTCCAGTACATATTAGATACAAATGATAACAAAGATGTAACTTACATGATTCCAGTTTTAGCAACACTATATCTAGCCCAAGACAGTATTAAATTAACACTTTCACTTAACTTTCTATTTAAACCCCCACAGTAATCCTATAGGAGTCAGTGATCAGCATTCTATGGCCAATTTTTTTCTAGAAGACACTAAGTCTTAAAATGGCTCTTGCTAACACATAAGAAGCTATATATTCAAACCTAGATTCTCTAACTATAAACGTAGTCTTTTTAATACCAAAAAAGTATTTTCTTAGAACACTTTATAATGATTGTCAAATCTCTTGTTCTTATAACAAGAATATTCTTATATCCTCCTCAGAAAAGTGTCTGTTTATTTTGCTCTACATAAAACCCATTGTTAGCCTTTACACTACTAAATGTGTGTGTGTGGTTTGTTCTCTAATCCTTTTAGAGTGTGTACTCACTTGTACGGCCATATAAAAGTCTGGAGACAGCAAAATAAGAGAGATGATTCTGATTATGTAGTCCATAGACCACAAGTGAAGTGTGGAACCTGAAGGTCCTGGATCTTGCTCTCACTTTTTACTGCTCTTAACTTCTAATTCTAGCTTTGCCACCAGTGGCTCTTTGATTTTGAGCAAGTTACTCTGAGTTTCAATTTTCTCTTTTATAACGTAAGATCAGATCTTATTTCGGAGGAAAACACTAATGACTAGGCATTATTATTTCAATAATGTTACGCTAATGAACAGCAATGTAAAGATATTGAGACTGATTAAAGGTATGCTTCATGTCAGATGAAATTTATTCATGAAAATACAAATTTACAACACAACTGGGCAGAATTATTTGTATTGTCCGAATATTATTTGCTTTATAAAATGAACTATAATAAATCCCATTAAAATAAACCTTCCTGATGTTTTTAAAATATAGCTCAAATTTTGCTTAAATACAGTTTTTCAGGTATGTAAACATTAAAATAAAACAAAATGCTAGTAGTTGCTTGCATCATTTCTAGTGAAAAGATGAGAAGGAATGAGATGTGCATAACCCTGTAAGTTTTTGAACTGTAACAGAATTTGCTGTTAAACAAAGCTCCTTCATTAAATCCAGGTTTTATCTTTTTTATAAATATATTTAAAATAAAGTATATTTTGCCTTTTTTTTTCTTTTTTTTCTTTCTACTTCTTAGGGCCAAGAAGTAATGATATGAATAATCCAGCTTATGCTGGATTTGAACGAGATGTATTCAGAACAATTGCAGATTATTTTCTAGATCTTCCTGAACCCCTACTTACCTTTGAATATTATGAATTATTTGTGAACATTTTGGGTATGTGTGTTACTTATCATTTAAATTTATTTTATTAAAATTTTTGAGTTTCCCATAATTTGAAAGACCTAAAGACATAAGTAAATGTGAAGATGGCAGGCTATAAATCATTTCAAATTTGGAAGTATTCTGTTTGCTGTTGTGTTGTGTTCCAACAATTCCAATACACCATTCTAACACCAATTCTCCACACCAGGTGAATGACCTACAATTCAATTCATATCTGACACTAAACTACCCAGAGTTAGCCTAGACCCCACAAGTTTAGGACGCAGTCCTTCAATTCTGATACTAACTACCCAGAATTAGTGTAGCCTATACAGATTAAGGGCTCAGTTCCACAAGACTGCCTTCACTTCTGACACAAGCTACAAATGAGGTCCTCAGACTTACTAGTACTTCTTTCTGCCTAGCTAAAAATCAATCTGGGGATTCCCATGACCCTGCTCAGGTTTAATAATTCACTACAGCAATTCATAGAACTCTGAAAAGTGCTTTACTTAGTGAATGCCAGTTTATTATAAAGGGTAAAAGTCAGAAACAGCTAAATGGAAGAGATACATATGACACAGTATGAGGGTAAGGGTTGTGCAGAGCTGCTACTCTTTCTCCAGGAATGCACCCTTCCCAAGCAGGTCTGTGTGTTCACCAACCTGGTAAGCTCCCTTCACCTTGTTCTTTCAGAGTTTTAATTGATGTTTCATTTATAGGTATGATTAATTAAATCACTGGGCATTCATAATTGGGCTTAATATCCAATCCCTGCTCCCCTTCAGGGCTGAAAAGTTCCAACCTTCTAAGCAAAGATAGAGCTAAATCCCCTCATTAGCATAAATCCAGATGTACTCAAATAGGCTTACTGTGAATAACAAATACTCTTATCACTCCAGAAATCTCAAGGATTTTAAGGAGTTGTATGCCAGGTACCAGAAACACACCAAATACATGTTTTATTATACTACAGTTGTCTTAAAATTCAGAACTTTCTCATACTTGTAGACTAAAAGCAGATCTTTTTTAATGTATTTGACTCAATCCATTTAATTAGATTGTTAATATAAATTTAAAGATTTTTTTGTATCACTTGGAAAACCTCTAGTCAGTCTTGCACTTTGTAACTGAATGTTGCATGTGTCCTATTTAAGTGGCTTCTGAAATAAGCAACTGCTTTTTGTACTGTACTAACAATGTATACTATAGTGATGCTTTATTTTTTTAACTTTACTATTGTTTTTATTTCATTTGTGTCCACTGTCATACAGTTGCATCTTAATTTTTGTTTCATTTCCTGGTAGTTTTTTGTGGCTACATCACAGTTTCAGATAGACCCAGTGGGATACATAAAATCCAAGATGATCCACAGTCTTCAAAAATGCTTCGCTTAAGCAATTTGAATTCCTTCAAATCAACTGAGTGTCTTCTTCTCAGTCTGCTTCATAAAGACAAAAACAAAGAAGAATCAGATCCTACTGAGAAACTACAGATAAATGATCGAGGATTTCAAGAAAAATGTGCTAAAAAAATGCAGCTGGTTAATTTAAAAAACAGAAGAGCTAGTGCTAATGACATAATAGGAGGAAGCTGTCATGATTTAATAGGCTTAAGTAGTGTGCATGTTCTATCCTCTAACATCAAACCAAGGTGTTATTCTTTAGAAGGAATTGTAGATTTACCAGGGAGTTCAAGTAAAGAGGTCTCCAGTGTCTTACATCAATCTGTTCTGAACATAGAAGGACAAAATAATACACAATTTTTAGCGTCTAAGACCAAACAAGAATCCCTAATGAATCTTCATTTGCAAGAAAATAATCAAAAGCCACTCTGTGTTGCTTTTAAGAGAACCTCTACTTTGACTGTTCAAGACCAAGAGGAGTTATATAATGGGAAATGCAAGTCAAAACAGCTTTGTAGATCTCAGAGTTTACTTTTAAGAAATAGTGCAAAAAGGAATAGTTATATCAATTTGCCAGTGGCTGAAATTATCATGAAACCAAATCTTGGACAAGTCAGCACAAATGTACAAACAGCTATGGAAGGTGAATTCGGAGAGTCTAGTACCACAGTCAATAAAAGATTCTGCAAAAGTACAATAGAACTTTCAGGAAATTCTTTACCTCCAGCTTCTTTGTTGACTGGCACACAAAGTAAGGTTGATGCTTTCAATGCATGTAATACTAACTTTTATTGTTTACTAACATTGTTTTGCTTACCTGTCTTTTCCTCTCTGAAATTGCTATATTTTTTCCTCCAAAAGGAAAGTTTCTTATCGTAAAAGACTTGTCATGGCAAAATCAAGATTCTGTTTATCTAAAGCATTTGCTTACTTTCTTTTCCTTCAATTTCATTTATTCTGAGTCATTTAATTTGTAATAAGTGAAGGATTTTAATATTCAGATAAATTATGGAGAATATAATGAGAATCTTACAGAGCTTTTGCGGAGTGGAAATTTCTAGGAATAGTTAAAAGAAATACTAAAATATTTTGCTTTCTTTATATAACTGTATATGCTGACAGTATGAAAGCAACTATGTCATTAATGATTTTTGTGGGGGGTAACTTTGCCTTCCAGGTTTGCTGCAACCTCATTTAGAGAGGGTTGCCATCGATGCACTACAGTTATGTTGTTTGTTACTTCCCCCACCAAATCGTAGAAAGCTTCAACTTTTGATGCGCATGATTTCTCAAATGAGTCAAAATGTTGATATGCCCCAGCTGCATGATGCAATGGGCACAAGATCACTGGTAAGTTGATTTCTTAAGGAAAAAATAAGCCCTGGTTCATAAACCAAATAAAGAAAACCATGCCATCTAAAATTACTACTGGAGTGATGTTGTAGTCTTATAATCCTAGACTCTTGTAGTAGAAAGACTCTTAAAAGTCTTTCCTAGGAGCAAAAAGTTGGTGCATTAATCCTTTGTGCCCAGTCTGTTATACTTTGTCATTATATTTTTTATCTTATTTGAAGCCCTTGCCTCTTTACTCATCCTGTATAAGTTCACAGTGATTGACCCAGATAGTCAGTCCACATTATTGCCTTGTACCAATTCTGTTTGGTGAGAAAGAGGAGATGTAGACACTGTTGAAAGCTTAAGGGCACTATAACTCTAAAGTAGAGAATTAATGGGGAACCCTTGTACAGTAAGTCAATGCTTAAAGACTGTAGTAGAGGGAAAATTGTATTTGATGAATTATGTGAATTAGGATAGCATGTCATTGGGATCAAGAAATTGGAAGAAACTACTGTGAAGCAGTCTCAGGTTTCATATGAAGATGAGGGTAGAGGCTGCCACTTTCCCAGACTGTAGCTTCAATTTATAAGAGGTTCTTATAGTAAGGGATCTGGAGCTAAGTTCTATTCTGCCACTCCTTAAGGACAGTTCTTTAATAATGACAGACCTAGAATTATTCTTGAGTAATTGTGGCACCATTAAAAAGCATAGGGAAGTTTGCACATGAAGGTATTTTGAGAGATATAAGTGGAAAGGAGATAATTTCGGTTTTATACTTTTTAAATTTGAGGTTATAGGACATCTGAGTAAAATTTTTCCAACAGAATATTGGAAACATGAGCCTGGTGAAGGAAGGTCAGGGCAGAAGGCAGATTTTTTGGAACAGTGGTAGTTGAAGCTATGAGAGTAAATTAGCTCTTAAAATCTGAGAAAGAAGAATGAAAAGCTTAGGCATGAGCCTAATAGGAAAACCTACCTGACATGTAGGAATAAAATCAAAAGTATTTCAATTCAATAAATATGTTCATCCTCTGTTATGTGTAAAATACTTAGAACTGCAATATTCTAATTATTTTAGAATGAGATTTGCATATGTATGTAGGTATCTTATCCTTAGTGGGTTGTATGGATATGAATGGAAATAAATGACTTTTAAAACATAAAATTTATTCCAGGATTTGAAGACACCTTACAATGGTATTGAAAAAAAATATGTATTAATTGCCTTTATAGACAGATGGAATAAACATTAAAAAATATTTTATAGTTGCAAAAAATAAATGATGCCAACCTTGTAACCACTAATGTTTGTTATATATTCTCCCAGTTTATGTTTTTGTGGGATTAATTTAATATAAGTCATTGTTCTGTAACATTCTTTAAACAACACTTATATGGTATTTATGGAACCTATGGTTTTTACTGATAAAATTAAAGAAAAAGGTAAGCCTTGTATAACCCTTTGAAACTATATTAAGGAAGTACTTATTTAAGAATAATAGATATTCTTACCCTTCTAATATAATAAATTATTGTCCTCATTTTTAAGCTGAAATCTGCTTATCACTTTATCTCAGTTTTTTTGGCATAATGCTACCCAGAGGTTATGGATATTCTAATTTATATAAAACCTTAGGTTTTTAAATTCACATGTTTTAATATGCTTCTAGATGATATGTACTTTTTCTCGGTGTGTGCTATGCTGTGCGGAGGAAGTGGATCTTGATGAGCTTCTTGCTTCAAGATTAGTTTCTTTCTTAATGGATCATCATCAGGAAATTCTCCAAGTACCTTCTTACTTGCAGACTGCAGTGGAGAAGCATCTTGATTACTTAAAAAAGGGCCATGTATGTATTTCTAAGTCTTAAAATTCTTTGCATTAGACATTTGCAAGTGGCAAATTCATTTCAAACTAGCCTAATCAAAAAGCGGGAATTTATCAGCCTATATAAATAACCTCTAAAAGTCAGGAATTTAGACAAAACGTGGAGACTTAAATAGCAATTGGACTGTTTACATCCTTTCTTCTTTTATTTCCGTTTTGGTCCTGTATTTGACAAGTGGCTTTTTCATACGATGGGAAATAATGCTTTTGAGTCACAAGTCCTTTATAATCCAAAAGGAAAAAGAGCCATCTCTCCTCCTTCAAATTCGAAGGTTCTTGTTATAGACTCTGATTGGCCTTGTCTGGGTTCAGTGCACATCCTTTGGGTGGTTGAGGGTGAGTGGTTGGAGAAAGGGCCATACTCTGATTGGCTGTACATACATTAGAGGAGAATCTGTTCTTCAAAAAGGTGAAGATAGTGGGGAGAGAATGAGAAGGAAGTGTCACAGAAGGAGAAAAAGAATACTGAGCATCCAAAAACCACAGATGTCTATTATAGTCAATCTTAGGCTGCACAGCACATATATTCATGTTTCTTCTCATACATGCCACTCTAATATTGTCCTGACTACTCATAACTATCCCCTTCTTATTTCTTCTCTTGCCAACAGTTGTTACAGGCTTTGCCCAGACACCTATACCTAAAAAACAGTAAATGACTGTTTTAACTATTACTGTGTCATGACATTAATAGTTTAAGATGAATTAAAATATCACTGTGATTGTGTTTTGTAGTTAAAAGAATAAAATCCATGCTTAGTGGTAGTAATAGTGATAGCTACCTTTAATTAACACTTACTGTGTGCTAAGCACTTTGTATACATGATCTCCGGAAACCCCCATCTTACAACTGAGGAAACAGACCAAGAGAAGTTAAATAACTTGCTGAAGATTACACAGGTGGCAAGTTGTAGAACTAGGGTTTCGATTCTGTGGATTTACCACTACTCCACTGGCTAAAACAGTTTTCTTAAAGTGTTTAATGTTTGGTGGAAAAATAAAAGGTGCTAAATCCCATCAAAGAACACTTTACAAAAACAGGAACATAGACTTGGATTGTATCATTTTGTTCACTATAGATTAAAAATCCTGGAGATGGACTGATTGTTTCTCTGCCCACATATTCATACTGTAAGCAGATCAGTGCTCGGGAATTTGATGAACAAAAAGTTTCTACCTCTCAGGCTGCAATTGGAGAACTTCTAGAGAATATTATTAAAAACAAGAGTTTGCCTCTAAAGGAAAAACGGAAAAAACTAAAACAGGTAAGAAAATGAGCAAGTTTTTGATCATGTAAATACTTTGGCATAGGCTGCTGCTGATTGTTACTTAATATTTAGAATCTAATTTCTCACTTTAATATTTTGGATTTTAAATATTGTATATATAGCCTATTTATAACTAGCTGCCTGATTTTGCTCTTTATCCTGAAATTTAAAACAATAATTGGTACTCTATTTCTGATGTTTTGCATTATTATACCTTGGATTAACCTAGAAAAAACAATTGTGGATTATAATACATAACTTTTAGTGACTCGTCATTTACCATTTAGACTTTTTACTTCTACATCAAAATCCAGTAGCGACATGATTTTGGCAAGTCCAATCCCAGGTCTGAGACACTCAAAGAAATATGAAATATAGGCATACCTTGGAGAAATTGTGGGATCAGTTTCAAACCACTGCAATAAAATGAAAATTACACTAAAGCAAATAAAATACATTTTTTGGTTTCCCAGTGCTTATAAAAGGTGTATTTGCCCAGCCAAGGGAAACAAAGCAAAAGTAAATGAGTGGTACTCCATCAAATTAAAAAACTTCTTCACAGCAAAGGACACCAACAAAATGAAAAGGCACCCTACTGAATGGGAGAAGATACCTGTAAATGATATATAAGGGCTATTATCCAAAATATATGAAAAACTGATAAAACTCACCACCAAAAAACCAAATAATCCAATTACAAAATGGGCAGAGGACCTGAATAGACAATTTTCTCAAGAAGACATACCAATGGCCAACAGGCACATGAAAAGATGCTCCACATCACTAGTCATCAGAGAAATGCAAATCAAAACCACAATGAGATATCTCCTCACATCAGTCAGAATGGCTAATGTACAAAAAAACAAAACAAGAAAAAATAAATAATAAGTGTTCATAATAAGTGTTCACAAGGATGTGGAGAAAAGGGAACCCTCATACACATATCTGGAAATGTAAATTGGTGCAGCCACTATGGAAAGTAGTAGGAAGGTCTTTTTAAAAATTAAAAATAGAAATACCATACAACCCACTAATGTCACTTCTTGAAATTTACCTGACGTAACCAAAATCACTAATTCAAAAGGATATATGCACTCCTATGTTTATAGCAGCACTATTTACTATAACCACAGTGTGGAAGCAACGTAAATGTCCACTGACAGGTGAATGGATAAAGAAGAGGTGGTACATATATACAGTGGAATATTACTGAGCTATAAAAAAGAATGAAATCTTGCCATTTGTGACATGAATGGACCTAGATGTTATTATGCTAAGTGAAATAACTCAGAGAAAGACAAATACCATGATTTCACTTACATGTGGAATCTAAAAAACAAACAAAACAAGCAGATTCATAAACACAGCAAACTGGTGGTTGCCACAGGGGAGAGGGGTAGGGGAATGAGTGAAATAGATGAAGGGGATAAAGAGATAAAAACTTAAGGAAAAAAAGTTTATGTTTATATTGTAGTTTATTAAGTACCTAAATAACATTATATCTAAATAAATAATGTATATACCTTAATTTAAAAATACTTGGTGCTAAAAAATGCTAACCATCATCTGAGCTTTCGGCAAATCATAAACACCACAGATCACTGTAACAAGTATAATAATAATGAAAAAATCTTGAAATATTGTAAAAATTACCAAAATAATGACACAGACACAAAATAAACAAATGTTGGAAAAAATGACACTGATAGCACACTAAAGCAGAGTACAGTAATATCAGCTATGCTTGTATGCTAGATCCCTATGACCTTCCAATGGGAAGGAAAAATCTGGAATTCAAGGGGAGATTTAACATCAGAAGAGAATCCTAGAATCTTGATGCTAACTGGGATCTAAGAAATCTTACAGTATACCGTTCATATATTAGAAAGCAGAGGGAGAGTCAAGGATGAACTGAAAGGATACTTCATTTCTGTAGCACATCTTTGAGAAAGGCACTGAAGTCTTAACAGAATGTTGAACACTCTCTTCAGCTAGACTAATAACATTCAATACCCTCTAATTCCTCACCTTGTTTTTAAGTTTCAGAAAGAATATCCCTTGATATATCAGAAAAGATTTCCAAACACGGAAAGTGAAGCAACACTTTTTGGTGACAAACCTACAATCAAGCAACCAATGCTATCTTTAAGAAAACCAAAGTTCCGCAGTCTAAGATACTAACTGGATGAAAAGTTATGTAATATTTATGGAACTTTGGTAAATGAAGCCATATCTAAGAATATAGCTACTAAAAAGGAAGTCTATTTATTAACAAGTTTTTTTTAAATAAAACACATTATGTAAGGAGATGCCAAAATAATTTTTTAATAAATGTGAGACAGCTAAGAAACAAGTAGATCTCAACTGAGAGCAAATGACAATAGGTGATACCAGATATTTTAACCAAAAACAATCTTTTGTTTCTTATGCAATATCTTGTAAAGCTATCATGGTGTATGATAAAATTTTATCTACTTGAATTTTGAAGATGGAGATGTTCATCAAGATTAAGCTCTAATTCTGTTTACAAAAGAAAACAACTTATCTGTGCATGTGCTTTATAAATATCAGATAAAGAACTAGTTGTTTGGGGTTGCTTTTGTTTCTGAGTGTAAGAATGTGAAGAGTATTTGAAAACTCAATGAATTCTCTACTGCTAAATATTGCACTCTTTTGTATATTCTTTTTTTACCTTTTGATCTATTTATATATGTATGTGTTTTTAATATATGTATATATAAGACTTTGGTTTACCTTAAACATTTATCTCAACTGTTTCAGTCATTCATTTTGTCCATAAATATCTTCTGCATTCTTATGTTCATGAATCTACTAGAAAATAGAGATATAAAAGAAGTATACTGCAATCATGTATTCATTCAAAAGATATCTATTTAATAACTATGTGCCTTTCATTATCATTGATATGAGGAGACAATGATGAATAAAACAAAATCTCTTCCCTTAAAGTATTTATTTTCCTAATAAGTGAGATGACAACTATCAAATAGTTTAACACAACTTCTGAAATCAAGTCATCGGGATTCTTTGGCTGAAGACTAACCTCTCATTATGGAATAGTTCTCTAAGCTAGTGTTTTCAAATTGTTGCATATTAGGATCACCTAGAAAGTTTTAAACCAATATATGCTTGGCCTCTACCTTACACCATTAAATCTGAATTTTAAGGAATAGTATATAGGCATCGGTATTTTTAAAATTCTTTGTGATTCTAATATTCAACTAACTTTGAAAATTAGTATACTAAATACTTGTAAACATATAAGTAAAGGTCAAGCTGGTGGCACACTGGCTTTATTATTTTGTTGAAAGAAAATGCCAATATAAATGACTCTCATCTTAATACAAGGTTATCCAAATTTCTTTTTGATTGACTTGAAACAAACTTGAAGCAGCTTTTCTTCCATATTTTATTCCAAGATTGTTTAATATGCATTCCTTAAGTGTAGATACTTACTATTCAATGACTTCTGATTTCTCAGTGTAATGTCATACTATAAAAGGACAATGCTCCATTTGAAATTATTATTTTTTACTAAAAATTTGGGCAGAAAATTGTAACTTTATCTTTTTCCCAGAAACCTTACCTATAAAATTATTGGACCAAATTAGATTTCTTTACAAGGTGTTTGTATGCTAAAATTTTTTCCTGTTTAAAACTGTAATAATGTGAATTGTGTTGCATATTAAGTTAAAAGTTACTGTGAGTTTTGTAACAATATGTATTTAAGATTAAATATACATTCTAAAGATGTAGTAAACTTTTATCTGAATTAGTGTATGTGGAATTGAGATTACAAAATACATGGTGTATTACTTTAATAATGTGAATTCTGAAGTCAAGTTTGAATCCTATTGTATAACATTTGACAAATTACTTAACATCTCTAAGTCCCAGGATATTTATCTGTAAGATAGAAATTGTGATAGTACCTCTCTTTTAGGATTGTCGTGAAAATAAATAGAATAATGCATGTGAATTGTTTAACACAGTGTTAGCATAGAATAAGCACTCTATAAATATTAGTGATTATTAGTAGAATCACCTAGAAACATGGAAGAAATCTTAGAAAAAAAAATTAGTCCTCTCAATTGCTTTGGGCAGACATGAACCAAAACAAAATTATGAGGAACAGAAGAGTTTTATTAGCCTATGCTTTAGTTATGAGACAAAGGTTCTGATTGTACTTGCTTGTTGAAGTTTTTGATCTAATATAAATAGAAATTTGATGAGAGTGGGAACTGTGAATTACCTTCAAAGCAACAACCTTGAGTATGTGAAAGCATGTATGATGCAGTACACAAATAGAGGGCTTAGCCTTCCTCTGGAGCATGACAGATTCCATTCTTTTAGGGAAAAAAGGCAGAGTATTTAAGTTCAAATACGGATGAGTTGATTGGTTGATTTGATGTTGATTGCTTATAGAAATTCTCTTTAATTGCTTTAGCATTCTCAGGAAATAAAGTCAACCACTGAGAGTAGTAATGTGGAGTAGGAAGGATGTTGCACATTTGAAGAGAAAGAGTGAAATCGTGTAGCAAACTTGTGGGAATGCACAGATTACAACAGATCATATGATGTCTAGTTATTTTATAAATTGTAGTTCTGGACCCTGAAGTTATTGCCACCAACCAACCCCAACTTCTGCTAACAGTTGTCATATAATGATCCACTCTCCCCATATATTTTTGTTCAGACAGTTACATAGCATTTAGTAGTGGAAAGTACATGGAATTTCCTACTGACTACCTTTCTGTGTGTGGGAAACTCAAACTATGTGTTAACATGAATAATAACATCTACCTAATTAAGGTGTTACATAATCAAAAGAGGGGATATATTTAAATCTTGAACTGAGCAAGCCCATTATCATTTTCTAAGTCCTTTCCTCTTTCCTTGTATTGAGTTTAACAAAACTCCTTTCCTACCAAATATCTGCCCTCATATCTCACTTTTAACCTCAGGTTTGGTGAAATTAAAAATAGTTCTGGAATTTTATATTCTGGCAATCTGTGTACCTCTCCAACAGATATGCCACTCTGATTTAGAAGGTAAAGAGTATATATGTGTGCATGTGGTGTATTGCTGAAATGAAGCATTTCTATGAGAGAAATGAAGGATTTCTATTTTTAATATTAAGCTTAAATTGAATAGAAAGTAGGCAACTCATTGGCCTAAACAGTTCTTAACACACAAAGTGCAGCAGCTAAGAATCTTATTAACTAAGAATTAGCTTTTTTATTAACTAAGAATCTTACTTTTCAAAAAGTAGAGAAAATATACCCATTAGCTGTTTTTAACTCAACTGAAAACCTCAGAATGTGTACTGAGAAAATGCAGAATGTATTAAGACAAGTGAAAGTACTGTTGACTTTCGTTCATCACAAAACCAATTTTTGTATCAAATCCTGTCTTCACATATATTAGTTGATATATGACTTATTCCATAAGCAACTAGAAAATGAAAATATGTGAAACAACTGTTTTTAAGCATTTGACTACATGTAATAACAGACTAAGAACCCTGAGAAGGGAAAACAAAGTAGGAGAGCCTTATGATTGCCCCAGATTACTGGCTGGAGGCAGTTGCCAGGCCACAGTGTAGGAAAGGAGAACCAAGTGTTTTGCTGCATTAAAGAGCCAGAGGTTAGAGTTCAATGACCGGGAGAGTTACAAAACAAAAAGCTCCAGAGGTCTGTAGAGTGGTCTAGAAGTTTTTAAGTAATAATTGGCTGTGGGCAGGGTTAAGGAAATCAATTGAATACTAATCAAGAAAGCCAATGAAAGAATGGAAAGCAGTAAACCAAGCAGTCTCTGGACCTCATAGAACTGTAGTTCATGTTCTCAACAGCCAGAATAGGGCTTCTAATACATGGGCATTGGGTAACATCTTCAGAGAATTTGTGATTTAGTAGAGGGGCCAAATTAGTCCTAGAATAGAAAGTGCTGTAGATTCATCCTTAAAAGAAAAATTTAAAAACAAGCCTCAAAATGTTCAAATTGATCTTCAAGTAACTATGTGCTAAAGTAAAGTTCACTTCTTTAGAGAAATAGAAAATCCAGCACCCATCAATGTAAAAATCATACATGTCCAGCATCTAATGAAAAATTATCAGACAGCTTATTTTGGTGATCATTTCACAATATAGTTGACCCTTGAACAGCATGGGTTTAAGCTGCATATGTCCACTTACACATGGATTTTTTTCAACAAATGTATTGGAAAATTTTTGGAGATTTGCAACAATTGGAGTAAACATTTTCTTTCCTCTATCTTTATTGTAAGAATATAGTATATAATATACAAAATATATGGTAATTGACTTCATTTTGGATAAGGCTTCCATGCAATGGTAGGCTGTAAGTAATTAGGGTTTGAGTGAGTCAAAAGTCAAAAGCAGATTTCCAACATAGGTTCCCCTAACCCTTGTGTTGTTCAAGGGTCAACTATATATACAAATATTGAATTGTTTTACACCTGAAACTAATATATGTATGTTAATTACAAAAATAAATATATAACTCATACCCAGGGGAAGTATCAAACAATAGGAAAATACCCAGAAATGACAGATAATGGAATTAGCACAGTTTACAATATAATAACAATTAAATGTATTGAAGGATATAGAGGAATTCAGTGATAGAAATGGAAGATATTAAAAAATCCAAATAGAAATTGTGGAGATGAAAAACACATGGAATGAAATAAAGAGCAAGTTAGACACAGCATAAGAAAACAACTGTAAATTTGAAAACAAACTGGAACTACCCAAAAGATACAAAGGAAACAGAAAAAAAAATCAGAGCCTCAGTGAACTCTGGAAATATGACACTGAGTAACTTGCATGCATGAGGATCCTGGAATGAGAAAATAAAAAGAGAGGACATAAAAATTATTGGTCAAAAATAACAGCTGAATTTTTTTCAAAATGTGATAAAGATCATAAATCCACAGAATTCAAGGAACGCACAGTAGAAAAAACAAAACCACACCAAAGCACATATAATCAAGTTGCTGAAACTAGTGGTAAAGAGAAAAACCATAAAATCATCCAGAGAAAAATATTCATACAGAGGAACAAAAAGGATGGCAGTAGACTTCTTGTAAAAACTGTAATCTAGAAAACATTTGAGTGATATTGTTTTAGATTTGCTACCTTGGCTGGGATTGATGCCATTTCACGACCAGTAAATTTTGGCAGGGACTATCAGTACTCAACCAGTAACCAAGGATAGTCTTTTTACAAGCCAGCCATTGTTTAATCCAGCTCCAAATTCTGTCTTAGTCATTTTCGTGTGCTAGTCTTAGTTCTGTCTTAGGTCTTGTTCCCCATACTATCGAGACAAATATATGTGTGTAGGAGACTACTGTGAAGAACACTGGGGAGCAACACTTGCCAGAAAGTGATGGCGTTGAGATGGGAAAAAAGTGGAACTGCAATGCAGTTGCAACAGTGGCCTCAGCTGATCCCATGAGGGACTCTGGAGCTGGGACGGCCTTTCAGAATTGTCTCAAATTGAGGGAAGGGGCTGGACCTTTGTATAAAGAGTAGTTTGTACCTTTGTATGAACCAGTCACTGAAAATGGGTTGTTTCTGGAGAAATATAACTCTAGGTGAGGCAACTCCTTTCAGCCAAACGAAGTTTCTAAAGAAGACTGCAACCAATATTCCTGGCAGCTGGGAGAATGAATGACTCAGCACCGAGTGGGGATTGGTACAGACCACCTCATATTCAGTCACTAGCAGTAAAACAAACCAACCAACCAAAAAAATATTTGTGTTAATATAGGAAGAAAAAGAAAAGTTATGAGAACATTTTCAGTTATTTTTTACTTTGGTATTTATTGCTTCTTCATTAAAAAGTATTATCTAGGTATTATAGATGATTTGAAAATGAAAGTTTAAATCACCTATATTGTTATCACCCTATGAAAATCTTTGAGTTCTGTCTCAACTTTCTCTCTTAACAACTCAAGAAAAAGTAGCTCTCTTCTAAACCTCATATGATTGTCTAGGATTACAGATTAGCAATAATTTTTTCTTAAAAATTCACAATTGCCTCGCCTGAAGGTTTCAGCCTCAGGCAAGTTCACTCTGGATTCTGTGAAACTGAAAAATGACAACAGAACATTGAGGGTAAAAGGGTTTATGCCAATCTATTTTCATGAATGGCAGGTTGAGCACTAGAATCCTAGGGCAGTCTGCATACAGCAAGCCCATCTCTGCCTCAGGGCCTCTCCACAGCCTGGCAGCCCAGGACACTGGGCAGAGTTGTCTCAAGTCAGTGATAGCCCATTGCCAACACAAGCATTGCACGTGTACAGTGGGCAAGCAGACTAGGGTCAGGTGAGGATCCTGGCCATGGAACTTATATTTTCCCTACAATGATGAGCTAAAAAGGCAGTAATAAAAGACCTGCCATTCTTGCTCATTATGTACAACATCTCAGACTTTGGTATTTGCAGGTTTTCATTAGATTTCTGATTTATAATTTGGAAATTAAAAAGACTGCAAGTCTCTGTCTCCTGGCTCATAAGTGACCTGATTTGTTAGGCAGCCACTTATGCTCCAGGAAATAGTCCAATTTCTTTCTCCTCCCCAGCTTAACTGAAAGTCATGTGTCCCCTTACTAAGATTTATATTTCACCTGTTGCTAGGCTGGAATGCTTGTAAGCAATACACTCATTTGTCATTAAATTGAAAATTAAAGTTCAACATCAAACTAAAAGTTGGAAGGAATTACACAATTTATAAATGACCCAAATGTTGGTTGAAAGTTAACTTTTGGAATCAGTGTTAGGTAATTCCTAAAGTGACTATTAAGTCTTTATTTTTTAAGAAAACTGTTGTTAGGTTTGGGCGGCTTGTGGTCAGCAGTGCCATCTTCAGGCGTCCTCTGATATAGCTCATTTTAGTGTCTGGGGTCCTCCCGAAAAGGGATTTGACCTTACTGAGTATATATAGCTTTATAATGACAAATACCAAGTGATATT